AAAGGAAATATTATATACTAAAGTTTAATAAAGTATAAAAGAGTTATATAAAGCGTACTTATAAGTAAATTATATAAAATAACTATAAGATTTAATAATAAAATATTTTTTAGTATAATACTTACTAAGATCTTTTATATATTATAACTCTTAAGGATTCTAGTTATTATTTATTTAAACTTATAATCGTTATACAAATACCTTATATAACTAAATATAATAAATAAAAAGAGGCTTATAATTAATATTATAAGTCTATATAAGTTATATAAAAAAAAAGAGATCTTAGAAGTAAGATAGATTAATAGGAAAAATAACTCTACTAACACCTTTACTAAGAAATCACTAAACTTAATACTTAAATAATTAATTATAATAAATATGTTAAGGATTTAAATTAAGGTATATATTAAAAATTTAAAAGAAAATACTTAATAATTAATTTATATAACTTTATTGTTATATATAACTAATTATCTAAAAATAAAGTATAACTTTAAAAAGATATTTAATATATTTAACTACTACTAATACTAATCTTAATATTAAATTATACCTCTATTATATTTATAACCTTTTTAAATTACTATATTATATAATTTATTTAATTATTATATAAGATTTTAGAAAAAAGAAGTTATATAATTACTCCTTATTAATAACTATAAGGCTAGTAGAAGTGCTAAGGAAACAACTACCCTTGCCAACGTTCTTACTAAGCTTACTACTAAGCGTATAAGGCTTATAAGCATTAGTAACGTTAAGAGCCTTGTAGTTACTAAGGCCACTGTTATTATTATTATCATTATTACCCAGGTTATTAGACAAATTAATATCTTAACTATAATAGGTGTAGTAAGCGCTATGTAACTGCTAGATGTACTTAGTATAGGCGTTACCCTAAAAGGTAAGAATATAGGTACACTAGTAGAAGCGCAGAGAGTCAGTTGTTACGCATTTATTACTACAAGTAATAGCTATATAACTATAAGACTAAACCAAGACTATAAGGAAATAGCCTTAGTAGTAAATAATACTAATAATAAACTATTAGACAGAAGTGTTACTAGTAACGCAGATCTTAATATTATATAACAGTATATTAATACTAAGAATAAGATTTATTATAAGAACTCTTATCTTATCTAATTATATCTTTATATCTAATAACTATATAAACTTACTATATCTATATTTGGATTAAGTAAAATAGGAGCTTTATAACCATATATAACTTATCTATATATAAGATAGGCTTATAAGAATCAGGTTAACCCTAGAATTCTAAGTCTTAGATCTAGTTAACCCTAGAATTCCAGCCTTAGATCTAGTTAACCCTAGATTCCAGAAAACCAACTCCTAGATTCCAGATAAGATTATTTTATTAGATAATCATATTACTAATAAGATATCAAGAAAAGGATATAAGCCTAAGATATTCCTACCTTTTAGAAAGAAAAGCAGATATAATAGCATGCATAAATACAACAACCTTATCTTTCTACCTTTACCTTCACTAAGTCTCTTTACTTCCCTGTGACTATCTAAGAATATTACCAACATATTCTAAGTTTAATAATAAGACACTCCTTATCTTATAGTTAAGATTAATGTATAAAGACAAGGTAAGAACAAAAGTAATATACCTTAATAGCTAAAGCTAACAGAAGAGTATAATTATTAGCGTTACTAGTTAAAAGACAAAGCTAATAACTATTAGACACATTAGTATATATACTAATATTACTAAAGATTAAACTACTAAAGGTAATAAAAGATATAATAAATTAATTATGTAAAGTACTATTAATAAATTAATAAAAAGAAACATATAAGAGGAAATCTTATATATAAGTAGTTATTATTAGAGTTAATTAAAAAAAAAGGGAAAGGTTATTATTAATTAATTATATGAGAAAATAATATATATAAAAGGTAAAAAAAAAATAATAAATAAATAAATAAAAAAAGTTTTAAATACTTAAAGTTATTATATAAAAGAAAGAAAGTATATTAATAGTAGAAGTAGAAGTAAAGTTAATAAGAAAGGAAGGAACTTCACTAACACGTAACTTGCCTACTTAACTAGGCAAAAAAAAAAAATTAGTTACCTAGAGTTTAATATTAGTAATTTATTGTATAACACAAATAGCCTAACCTATAAGGTTATATAATAAAATTATTAATATTATAATTAGCGTAACCTAATTAGACACTATAAGGAGTCATATAGTTATAAAAGAAAAAGTTATAAGTATTAGAATAATAGTACTAGCTAGTTATATAACACGTATAACTTAAGAATATATATTATAACAGAAAACACAGACTAGATATTTAGCTCTTAGTTATCTATTAAAAAGATTAAAAGTATATTTATACTAAACTAACTTAAGGACATATAAGATCATATATCTTATATACAAAAGCCAAGTCTTATAGTTAGGAAGATAATTACAAAAAATACATCTTTAGTTCACCTTAACTTTAACCTAAGTATAATCATACAAAAAGGTTCTCTTAGAAAGAGAGAATCTATTTAACAATAAATATTATTATTATACATCTTATACTTTATAATTATATTTTATATAAAAAAAACTATGTATAATATACGTCTAGATTCTTATAGAGTACTCTCTAATAGTTAATTCTTTAATTAAAACGCATCTAGAGCTTAGGTTATTATTATATAAAGTTCAAGGCCTAGTTTATCCTAATACGTTATATATTATATTTATAAAAAAGTTAATTTACTATTTCTTAAACACTACCTAAGCGTAAAGGAAATAATTATAAATCTAGGTTAATTATATATTATATAATATTATTTTCTTTATATAAGGTTAAATTCTAGTTATATAGTTATATATTACTCTTTATAAGCTAACTAGCTTATTATTATTAAAGGGTTATATAAAGGACATTATAGATTAATATAGCTTTTTGTATACTTAATTTAGGGTTAAAATAAAGCGTATTAAGCGCTAAAACTAAATCACTTTTAATTAAATAGTGTACTATATTTATCATTAGAGAAAAATAAAGGGAAAGATAGGTTATATAAAATTCTAGGAAAGTAGCCTACTAGCTTATATAGCCTACTTACTTATAAGCTACGTTATAAGAAATATAATATTATTACTTTTTATATACTTTTTATTTATTATATAAGCTTTAGCCTCTTAATAATAGCTATTTTAGTCTACTAAAACTATTATATAGTAAAGAAATTAAAAAACTAATATATATATAAATTATATATATTACTAAAAATAACTTCTTTTTTACTTTTAAAGTAATCTTTTTTACTTTAATAAATAAAAACAATATATAAGCTAGTTTTAAATAAGCTAACCTTATACCTTTTAACCTAAAAGTAGTTAGTTTTTACCTAGATTTTAAGCTTAAGACACTAATATTATTTAAGTTATGCCTTAATAGCTAAGGCTCTTAAGATCTAAAGATATTAATTATAATATATAACGCTATATAAAGCTTTGTATTACTTAAAAAAAGATTTATAATTATTAATATAGTTTACTAATATACTTATATAAAGTAATAAACTTATAAACTAAAAGTATTACTAAGTTAATATTTTAATTAGCTCTCTTTAAGGCTAACAACTATAGGCTTTATATAATAAATAAGGTATTAAGTAAACACTAAAAAGCTAAAAAACCTAATTATATCTTAAAAAGTTACTTAATATAGCTAAAGCTAAAGTAATTTAAGTAAAAAAGAAGATTATTAATACTAAAAGCAAAAATATATATTAAGAGGAGGCTTATATAAGGGGGAGTAAACTATATAGTTAGTAATATAGTAATTATAAAAAGATTAAGTATAATATATAAACATATCATATAGTATAAGAGACCTCTAAGAAAAAGGATAATAAGTAGTTTTAATTAATTTTGTATAATACTACTTAACTAACATATAAAATAGTTAGAGGGAAGTAGGAGGTGTATAACTTACTATGATGCGTAGCTTACTATGTATATACGTTAGTTTTAATTGATTTTATATAATATAGCTTAATTAACTTATATAAAGGTAAAAAGAAATAGGCTGCTTACTATAATAGGCTACTCGCTATACATATACGTTGTACCACTTAGTAATAAAAGCAACTTTAACTACCTTACTAAACCTATAAAGACGCTTTATCTAAGCTTGCCTATAGCCCTAATTAAGCTAAGGCACACCTAAAAAGCTATCTTTCTGCTTTCTAGGCGTCGTGTTAATCACCTTTATTAATCGGTCACTTTATGTGCACTCGTAACAACACTGAGGCCTTAGTGTTTAGTGTGGTTTGTGTGCTAACCGCTTACTTGCTGGCTTCCTTTGTTCTACGCAGTTTCACTACCTATGCCTTACGACGCCTAACCAATCATGAGACGCTAACAGACCAGCAAGATTACTAACATGACTTACTTTACTGTTGTTTAGTATTGACCTTAGCTATCTATTAGCAGAAAGCACCACTCTAGGATATGTGACCGTAACAACTAGTCGCTCAGAGATCCGTGCCATTCGAATTAGGTCGTGATTCGGCATGTCAATAGCACAGTTGGGCCCTGCACGCTGAGACAGCCCTATGAACCTTACGCCCTTGTAGCTACGCCCTTTACCTGTGCCACGTTGCGCCACAATGCCGAGAGGAGGGGCTGCCATATTGTCCTTTGACATTAACTGATTTACATACTAAAGAAAGCCTAGCCACCATTCACTCGTGGAGCTTAATCCAGCAGCGATGACCGCTTGGCACCATTAAAAAGTACAACGAAGGTTCCATATCCTTATCGCACATACCATCATAATCAGATAACGTAGCTTTTGGAAAAGCCAGAAAGAATCTTGCAGTAATCAGGCGCAGCTCGATTCTAGCCAAATGTCGCCCTAAGCATGCTGTACAGCGTTAGTAAAGGAATTTAAGACAGCATACAAAAAATAGAATGGTTAGTAGAGGCTTGCTATGCTAGGATGGAATTTTAAAGAACGAGGATGAAAGGGAGTATAGGAGCCTTACTTCTGGCGCCTCCCCCAAATGGCATAGAGCAATCTTTCATGAGCTGTGTGGTATTCTCCCATCGCTCTGGATTAAATCGATATGGGTCAGGGAACGCGTCTGGGTTGCGATGCAGACTATATGCCTGCGTCGCAACAACCGACCTGCCAGGGACAAAATATCCTGCTAGCTCTGCACCTTCAGGGGGTACTAGTCTCGGAAGCCCACCCGGAAGAGCTGAGTATAGTCGTAAGCTCTCATTTACAATGCAGTTGAGATAAGTCAACTCCTTCAGATGATCGTAGGTATAGTCTTCTGGAAGAGAGCTCAGCTCCTTCATGAGCCTAGCCTTTATCCTTGGATTCTTGCAAACAGCCCAAACAAGATAAATCATAGAGTTGGCAGTAGTATCACTGCCGCCAACAATGAATGCCTAAGAGAGTCAGCAGCGGTATTGCTCCTGCGGAAGATACATACCAGTGCGTTGTCTCGCATCTCTTTTCTTGATAACATCTCCTTTTCGTTGGCATCATAGATCTTAGAAAAGACAGTCGGCTTGGGGTCAGAGCCCAATTCCTCTACTCGCTTAGCATGACGGTCTAAGGCTTTCTGGGCATAATCAAAGACTCGAAACTGAATTGCTGTAGCGTCTTTGAACACCGGGATCGGTAAGTATCGAGCCAACCTGGAAATGATCGGAAAGGTGATTCGAAGACTGCTGACATAACCTAGGCTAACAAAGTCGGTCACTGACTGAGTTCTCTGTTGAGGGCATAACTGATTAGATAAAGGTTCATAAAGTGCGTGCGTGCTATGGGACGAACCTTGCCATTTTCTAAGTTACCAAATGATTCGCTAAACGCGATGTCGCCAATAACATCAAACGAAAGGAACATAAACCACTTGGCGACATCAGCAGCACCGCATGCTGTATTTTCGTCACACATACGGTCGATAGCAAGCCGCACCTTATTATCAATACGGGGATAGAATGTTTTCAAGCCAGTTTCTGACATGGGATGTGATAAGAGACGCTTGAATCTCCGGTGAATGTCAGGGCGGATCTCATTGAAGACGTTCGAGGCATCCGTGACGAGAAGTGTATAGAAGGGCGTCTTTAAGTACCCCGCTTTAGCAGAATGGATACGCTGGCATGCTGCTGGATCAGAGACATCAACCTCTGATGGACTGTATCGCACTATAGATCCGTATCTTGCGTGTAAGCTGTGAATCCAGTCAGGATGATGACCGGTCATAAATTTGTATGTCGATGGAATTGCGGTAAATCTGGTGTACCACGGCCCTGGTATGTTCGATAAAGGGTTTGAAAGACCGGTGTAGATAAACTGAGTAGCTTCCTGTTAGTCTGAGTTCTATGGAAAGAACATTGGAGAATCGCGTCTACTAACCGCAGCTAGTGCAACGCATATAAGGGCACCTCCAAGGTGGAAAGCATTCTCTCCAATAGTATCCATGTTGATAATGATTTCTCACTTAAACTGGTGGTCATAGTTATTCAGGTTATGGAGCATGATGTGCAAATCGGTTCCGCTATATACCTTAGAATTGGGAGTCACGGCGCAACAGGGTGCGTAAGCCGCCAAACGCGATACAGCGAGTATATTTGTCAATTTTCCGCACTTCCCCACCAACAAAAATGGACTCCCCACTGTGGGATACACGCCTTTGTTTTTTCCAGTGGGGTGTTGAAAGATTACGCCGCATTAAGACGTTGTATTTTTTATCACGGTTCGGAAAAGATTCCTGAAGGGTCTATCCAATAAAAATAAAAAGATACCGGAGCATACCCTGTGTGGCCGTGCTTAAGCGTCAAACGTTTCATTACTTCATTATCCAACCAACTGAAGACTAATGGGGTAATCAGTAGAGCAAAGTTCAAGAACAGCGTCTCAACGATATACATATGCCATTTTCTCAATGTTTCGACCCAATCAGTTGGGGTGCTGGCCGACGTAACTATGTAGTGCAGAACAGGGGATAATGATACAGGTGCATCATTACCAAAGATTTGGCTTTGTGGTGCAGTTGGTTACCCTGACCTGCTCGTAGCATGTAGGCAGCTATTATAGCTTTGTAATAAAGGAAAATCTAAAAGTAACTTAGTTATAGTATAAAGTTAACTACTAAAGAGCTATAGAAGGTATTTAGTTTACTATCCTTGTAACAGAAGCTGACAGTGACGGTCACGACGTGCCTGTCTCGGCAACAACTTGAGAACCCTGACTCACCCGTTTCAGCTGTGCCACTATTACCTCCAAACTTACAGGAATCATTTTTCTTCTCTCGCTTCGGTAGAAATGCGCGGCTGCCCTCCGTACTGACTGCATACAATAGGCTACTATCAGTAAGCTGAGGCCGGTCTGAAACGTGGCTTAAGGAAACCCCGGTTGCTTGGTTGTCTGGGAATCACATCTTGCGTTATCTCGGCAAAGTGGTTTGCGGTCTGGTTGGCTGGCGGCGTTTAGTCTGGGCTCAGGTACGCATTGCGGAGGGTACGAACGGATGAATCTACGGGCTTGTAGGCACGTCAGAGGGGTTGGAGTTGGGAAAAGACTGGGCGGTTTCAGAAACGGTACACGCGGCCGTGGCGCGGGAGGTTTGGCGCCATGACGGCTACCTTGGGTTGTTACTGAGGCCGGATCCCAGTCGCGACCTTTAAAACGCTCGTTCGGCATGCCGATGGTGCTTCGATGTCAGAAATGCCACAGCTACTTCAATGCCAATGCGGCCCTAGAGGTGGCGGTCCGGATGACTGAAAAAGGGGCTGCAATGTCGGTCATCGCATGGGAATGGAGTCTAGGTAGAAATGAACACACGAGCAAAGCAAAGGACCGAGACAAACGGACCAGTGCCACATCAGGCATGTCAACAGATGGCAGTATGGCAGTGCATCCATACATCCCTTTTTGTTCTCCAAGTAGCTTAATCAAAGTTTTGTTTTACTAACGTTTACTGACGTTTACTGTTCCTAATCCTCATCTATTATTCCTTTGTGTACAATTGCTGAATTCCAACCCCTACCACACTTGGGGCCTTCGGCAACCTGGCCACCTTTTGCATCATGGTGGATCTCGAGTCGCGGGAAGCAAGGAGGCGTCGTTGGACAAGCTTCTAAGTTATTGCAAGCCAATTTGTGACAAGAGTCTTTCAAAGAGACGGCGTTGACCTATACAAGCTCACGCCCCTGACTGTCGAGCTGAGCAGTCCATGCCCGCCACGGCTACCATCCGCGCATCGTAAGGCTCTCTTCTCCTTCCCCCCCACCCCCTTTCTCTCTGCCCTCTTTTCCCGACACCATCACCTAGCTAAAACCTCCGTCTTCATGCTTAATCACCTAATCACCTCCGCCACGCACTTGCCCTCCTTCCTTGCCTCTACCGGCAACGCGAAGCCGTGTGATCACGCCGCCACTTCTTGATGAGTCCCTTTGACCCGGACCGTCTGGGTGTCAGAGGCGCTGGCATCAGAGTGAGGAAGTTAACGATAGGGTCACTTAACGATAGGTAGGGGTGGTGTTGTAACATCATTCAATTCTGGCCTGCCCAGAATCAGCCTAGAAAAGGGGTTTTATCCCTCGTCTGGCTGACTAACAGGATGACTAACGGGACCCACCGGCGCACCCCTGATAGGTCTCTGACACTGGGCCTCGTTACATGGTACCAGGCCATTTCGTTCAAGTAGGAGTCCTTCACCGCCTTCATGTAGAGCATGGCGGCAATGAAGGCGCCGTGAGCACGCATCTACGACACGAGCGCGCTGCTGGCGGGGCGGAGACAGGGTGGTGGAGATGAACCCGGATCCGAAGGGGGGAGATCTGGTGTTGCAATATCCGCCGGAGGTGGTCCGCATCGCGAACCCGGACGAGAAGGAAAGGATTACATGCATGGAGCATGGTTTCTTCGAGAGGCAGCTCATGTTAGATTGACGAGCACCAGGCAGGTGATACTCTGTAGCGCCTTCCCTGCCAGAGGCACCTTGGGCCCCCGATCTTCGTCGTCAAAGCCCACCAGCGCATTCATTTTGCCCGCCAGCGCATTTGCATACTCGTGCGGCAGACATGGCGCTGGCCGCATCGTGTCCATGAAGATGCCCATGATGAAATCGGGCATGATCAGCGGCAGCAAATACCGCAACATGAGTCTGAACCCCGGGTTGCGCCACGCGTACAGGCTGATGACAAGGAACGGCTCCTGTGAGGTGGCTTTGGAACACTTGGCACGGCGGCGCTGCGTCTCGGCGGAGAGGGCCTCAAAGCCGGCGCGCTTGAGTTGCGGGCAGGGCAACGGCGCCGACGCCGGCGACGCCTTGTACCGCCGGACCAGGAAGTTCGTAACACGGCGTTTTCTTCGAGACAGGGCATGGCGCCCTGGCCAGTGGCCGGATAGTTCTTGTGCACGGCGTCGCCGAGCAGCATGACGCGGCCAAAGTGCCACTTCTGCAGGACGTACTCCTGGCAGAGCCCTAGCATCTTGCGCGTCAACTTGGCGTACACGTCGGAAAAGGTGACGCCCTCGCGGAGCAGATCGTCCCAGTGCTTTCTGGCCACCTCCTCCGGCGCGTTGGCGTCGTACGGTTGGATGTCGTCGCCATCAAGTGTCTTAGGCAGCGGCATATGCAGCACAAGATAGGCGTAGCCCCCGCGCGACATCAGGTTGCAGGCAAAGTCCTGATTCATGGTCATGTTGGCGCTGCGGGGCACGGTGTCGATGGCCGAGATACCAAACAGGGTGCACCAACGGGCGCGCACCTCGGAGAGTCCGCCTGAGCCGAAGTAGCCCGGATATTGGACGTTGCCGAGGCGCCACATTTCGGAGCGAACGGTGGACCTGACGCCGTCACAGCCGACAAGTAGGGTGCCGGTGGAGGACTGACCCGGAGTCATGGCGGTGACGGTCACCGAGGTCGAGGATTCGTCGACGTGGGCGACGCCAGCGCCAGGACATTTTGGTCAGACACACGTACACCAATTCACCATGGCGACGACGTACCAGTAACGACTTTTGCGTCTGCCTGATGCCCTCGTACAACAGCTGCACCGCTTGTTGTCTGTCCTAGAACAGCACGGGGTAGCCGAGCGTCCGGTCGAAGAAGGGCGACACGCTCTGCACGCACACGTTCTGCGTCCCGTCGGGCCGCCAGTCGTACATGGGTTCGAAGACTGAAGCAATGTCCCGCAAGCGCTCAAACAGGTCCAGCTGGTCGAAGATGCGCGCGCCGCCGTGGAAAAAGGCCATGCCGGTGCCGACCTGGTGCGCAATTGTGGGGCCATCCCCGAGCACCAGAAAGTCGATGCCGGTCTGCTCGAGCATGAAGGCGAGAGACAGACCGTCTCCCCACTTACCTCAACAGAAAAGCAATGACAGGCACACAAATGGTAGTCCTCTTGCCTACCCAGTCGAGACCAAACTAAAATTAACGACTGAACAGGGTAGTTATGCGGCCAAGCAGGTGCCTAAAAACCGGCACTTCCACTTACCTGCTCTGACGTATGGATACGGAGCACAAGACTTTTCCCGCACCATCACCATTGTGTATGGTAAACTCTAGCTAACCTGAGTATATTAGTCAAAGTCCCTCTGTAGGTTGTAATCACTACGTAATACCGGTAGTCCTGGTTTTCTTGGCACCTGCCAGGCGATTTACTCATACGCACATGCATGCACACGCATGTACTCGGGTGCATGCATTGTACGTACTCCATTGCTACGATGTGTAGGACGTTCTCGGAAGGAGGGCTGGGGTGAAGCCTATTCTCTATGAAGGGGGGACGGGACCCACTTCTGACGCGTTTCTTTTATGGAGCCGGCAGTCCGACAGGTGGAAACATTGCCTGAACGGGTGGCATCGTGCACAAAGAAAATATGGCTTGACCGCCTCACACCCACTTCACGCCGGGTATGCGATACCGAAGCTAGATGTGCATTCTACGAAATATTTCAATCATGCGTGTACTGAGTAGGGTTGATCTTAGTCTTCAAGTTTGTAGCCGCTCATAAGCTTTCATCCTTGACTTTATCAACGTTTGGAATACCACCGCACAATGAAGTGAACACCAAGAAGATTTGCCAAAAAGGCAACCGTTGCTTAGATCGACATTCACTGGAACCATCTTTTGATTCAAGAAGCATTTTTACTAGCCGTCACTTTCCCCTCGACTTAAGTCTCACTATCATGTGTACGAGAGCAAATTGGAAACAAGAATCAATAATGCATACAGACTTTTAGCGAAATAAACGAACAATACCAAAACTTTTCAGTCCGTTAATGAACTCCGGATTAATCATGATTGATTGGACCTATGTTGTGCTCAGGTAGACAGTCGTCTGATGACACCAGTTTCAGACTGTCGAGTACCACACATGTGTGTACGCAGAAGGTAATTCTGAGAACGTGTAGCCAGAGAGCTAACAGGGTTACGCCAAGTCGTTTGCACCAACAGCTCTCGGCGGTCCCAACGACACACAGAACAGGCCACAGCTTTTTCAAGATTCCCGGCGCTTTTCTCGTTGCCTACACGTTATTTAGACTTCAAGGACTTCCGCAATCTGCATCCATGACAATTGGTTCTCTCATGCTTCGGAACAGAACTGTTATCCTAGTCACCATGGGTTCAGTCAAAGATTACCCGAGTCACAAGGAACGTTCGCGCAATGTAAGGCCTTTGAGACTCCGAGGGTCGTATCGGACTACTCTAGGCAACATGTATGAACATAGCCCGAGAACGGAAGGCGTTGGGCAGCTTTCATCAGAGAGTGCGACCGTCTAGAGTCGAATATCTAGAAAGCTTTACATCACGCAAATGTCAATAACCGGAGATCCGATTTCCATGCTCGCAAGAGAATCGGGCAAAGCGTATATAAAGAAGCATAGTATAATGGCCAGTAGAACTGTTCCGTTCATGCTCAAGGAATATCTTTGCTCTTAACGAACTGGCCATCACATCTCTATCCACATAGCGGACACAGCATATTTTTCAACTTCATAATTTGACTATGGCTACCACCCAAACCCCTTTGAATGCCGCTGGCGGCCACCACTGGCCCAGTTCCGCCGACAAGACTGCTGCCAATCGTGCCACGGAATTCGACAACAACATAGAACTCAAGTCGCCCAAGTTTCTGCCCCCCAATGTGACGGAAGCTGCATTTGCCAAGTTTGCCAAGAAGGTGATCTCAACTATTGGCGCGGCAAATTTCACAGTCATCTCACCTTCGTACGACTTTGACGGCTACGAGGATGGCGATTTTGGCCGCAACTGTCGAACGCACGACTACTACCAATCGTTCGACGACGAGGTCGAGCTGGTGGGCTCCTCAATCTGTCACCCGCGCCATGTGCAAGACATTCAAGCCATCTTGGCTCTTGCTACCGAGCACAAAATCCCCTTATGGCCCATTAGCACAGGCCGGAACCTTGCCTATGGAGGATCCGCACCTAGGGTACGCGCTTCTTATCCTTCTTTTTTAACTGTCCGTCTGTTTAGACTTCAAGGAAGAGTTCTGGGTGGGCATGAGGGAAGTTTCTTTTGATTCAAATCCTAATTCAATGGACTTACAGGTTCCCGGATCTCTCGTCATGGTGTTAAGCACCCACATGAATCGGATTTTGCATTTGGACACTGTTGCCTGTGTTTGCGTCGTGGAGCCCGGCGTCACGTTCATGCAGATGAGCGACTACCTCCGTGACCGCAACCTGCTGGACAAGATTCGAGTTGATTCTTCAGGCCTTGGCTGGGGGTCCATGATCGGCAATGCCCTGGATCGCGGTGGAGGTGCATCGCTCTACGGCGATCGATGGGGCAAGCACAGCGGCATGGAGGTTGTCATGCCTGGCGGCGAGGTCGTCAGGATGGGCATGGGCGCCGTTCAGGACCCCGAGGGGCGCAGGCAGGCTGCAGAAGGTGTTCACCCCGCCGACCAGAAGTTGAATGAGTGTTTCGCTTTGTTCCCCTACGGATGGGGCCCCATGAACGACGGCTTGTTCTCCCAGGGGACCAGCGGTATCGTAACCAAGATGGGCTTCTATGTGCGTGATTCCCCTTATACATGATCCTTCTTTCTAATTTTTTATTGCTTGAGCACTACTAATACCGCCATTTATCTATCAGTTAATGCCCACGCCCCAGGGCATGACACCCTTCTCTGTGACATTAGAGAAGGAATCTGACCTTGCTGCTCTGGTTGATGCTATCCAGCCGCTTGACTTAGTAACGAGAAATGATCTACCTTGGAAACACTTGGGCAATGTCTAACCAGATTCGTAGGCCGGTTCGTTGCAGAATACAGTCAGTCTGCGTAACCTTACTCTCGAGGCAGCTCACTACGGCGCGCGATCCAGTTACACGAACGCGTCTCACGCAGAGGTTATCCCAGAAGAGGACTTTGAGAAGATGGCTAGGAAGCTAAACACAGGGCGTTGGCGCTACATCGGCGCCGTATACGGCTCCGACCAGGTTCGCAAGGCGGTAATCGAGGACGTCAAGCGCGAATTGACCAAGATCCCCGGCAGCAAGTGGGCCACGCTCGATGAATATCCGGATGAGCAGAACCTGGTCCGTGTGCGTGCCACGTACCTCCAGGGCATCTCGTCCATGGGCGAGTTCGCTTGGATGAAGCAGTGGCTGCCTAACTGCTCTGTCATCATGGTCGCTGCCATCTCCCGGCTCGAGGGCAAGGCCGTCTGGGAGCAGTACGCCTTGGCCAAAGAACTCTTTGCCAAGGCAGGCATCGACTACATCAGTCACTATGTTGCCTACTTTCGAACTATGCGTAAGTAGCTCACTGTCTCTGAGACTATCTCTTAATAACCCAATCGTTCACAGACAATGTTTGTCTTATCCCCTATGACCGCAAGGATAAAGACATGCGTAGTCGTGCCAAGTGGTTGGCTCGCACCCTTATCAAGGAGTGGAAATATCGTGGCTGGAGCATGTTCAGGACGCACGTGGGACTCATGGACCAGGTTGCTGATGCCAACGACTTCAACAACGGCGCTCTGTGGAAGATGCATGAAAAAATTCACAACGCTCTCGATCCCAATGGCATCATGGCCCCTGGGCGAGGCGGAGTTTGGCCGAGCTCATACGATAAGGACGAGTGGATGATGGGTAAGGAGTATATTGGTTGATTGAGGATGGAGGAGATCCTTGTTTCCACGCTCGGTTTTACTGCATCTATACATCTCCTGTTATCTCTTGCCATGAGGGTCTAGTTGAATCTCACTCAGATTTCCTTCGAATAATAAAAGAGATAGCACCCCTAGTAACAAACGATCACGATCAGAGCTACAAGGTCTCTGCTTAGCGACCTGGTACGAAACTGTTTAGACTGTTTCCCGCCGACTGTGGTAATAATAAACCAACAGGTTCATTCGCATAGAGTTAGAGAATATTCTTCCCCAAAGTCCTTTTGTTAGGTTTAAGCCATCCTAATCATTGACAAAACTTCCCTTCCTGTCGTAACCAGACGGTCGTCTTCTCGTGCTTCAGAACAGAACTGTTACCTTAGTCACCATGGGTTTAGTCAAAGATTACTGTTACGACCCAAATCCGGTTGGTGACTAGTGCAGCCTGAAGCAAACCCCTGGAATGACCAACAGGGCAGCCAGACGTTCAAGTATGCAGGCCAGCGGCACGAACCGGGCTCGGAACGGAAGAACTAGGGAAGGTCACGTGATGGATCAGTACAGATCACAGGTAATCTAACATGATCCCTTAGCCAGGATTACTAACTAGTAACACTAATTCTACACTAAGGATTATAAAGGGATTATTTGAATAACAGCACCAGTACTTTCTAGTTTATTTATAGCCTTAATTAGGCTAAAAAGAACCTGGAAAAAGTAGTATTTACTCAGAATATGCTAGTGATACTCTTAGATAGTTATAAGGAAGTAAAGAGACTTAGTAAAAGTAAAAGTAAAAAGATAAGGTTAACGTACATGCATAGTGAGCGACGTATCATAGTAAGTAATGCACTTACTTTTTGTACCTTAAAGAGCACTTTTTTTTAACTATTTTTAAAAAATCGAAATCCTATTAAAAACTAATAAAGCTTTATAATTAGCTACTAATAAAAGTTATATATTACTAAAGAATATCCTTAAAATTACTACTATGCCTTAACCTTTAGACTTCTTATTATAGCCTTAGATAAGAAAAATATACAAGAATAAAAGTAATAGTATAATAATAATAAATCCTAATATATTTTTACTAGTATATAAGTCTTATTAATAGCTAAATGTAAAGTTTTACTAATTTTAAATAAGATTTCGATTTTTTAAAAATAGTTGAAAAAGTACTCTTTAAGGTACAATAAGTAAGTACGTCGCTCACTATGACACGTCGCTCACTATGCATGTATGTTACTTCAAAAGTACTTTAATACTTTTGTTACTTATTACCTTGATAATGTTATTATTCTGTTAAGAACCTAAAAAGGCATAAAGAACACACATATAAGGTACCATATAAGCTTTAAGAAGTAAGGTTACTAATAGAACCTAAAAAACTAAATTTTATACATAAAATTCAATCACTTTTAAGTTTTTATTACACTAAAAGAAATCTATGTATAAAAAAAAGATTTAAGTAGTTAAGGACTAGCTTATACAACCATCCTGCGAACTGAAAACAGTGTAGAACCACCTGAAAATTGAATTTATTACGCAAACTAATGTTTTCGTCCTGGCGGCGCCACCCCTTCTCAACTAAGGACTGCACGAGGTTCGAAGCTCATGATACACGGCACCCTTCTCTTGTTGTGTTCAAAACTGATACAATACGACACCATGAAATTTGTGGCCGAGACTGGTCGGGGTCGGTGGTGAACTGGGATAGTTTCCCGTTCCATGGGGCCGGGGGCAGGGCGTTAGCTCTAGAATCGCCCTTCGGCTAGCCTGAACCTCCATGTTTCGTTTGTAACTATGTCTATTGATGTTCAAAGCTGGCCGTTGATGTGACTTATCACCTTGATTAGTGGACTTACTCTTGGACGAACTAGTGACCTATCGGCTGGAGCCCCTATAAGCCTTTTCAAATTGGGCAACGGAAGCGCGCATCGATGCCTTCCTTTGGTTGGTCTGTGTTGGGTTCATCAAACGCGCCTGTATTGAATCATTGTTTCTCGCCCAGAGCTCAAGTCTGACTTAATGACAAGACTGAGCGCCGGCTCTGGTTCTAAAAACGGGAATTAGGCTGTGTGGCTCAGCAGCCTAGGCGTGTTCAAGGCGTCAGAAACTCACGTTATGATTCTCGTTTTTGCCGTTGTTGACTCCATTGCGGGCCTTTTCAGCCTCGCTTATTACACTAAGTGTTTGAACGATAGTTGCTAGCTAGATTTGGCATTTTATATCTACTTCCTATCGATTGCCTCACACTTATATATATTTCTCCCCAAGAACCTCAGACCCATCGAAATCTGATTGTTCTCTGTCTGGATATATTGCTGAACTTTAGCGCATCTATAAAACAATCCAGTCCGAAGCTGCGCGGATGCATTTTCAAGACAAGGAGAGCTGCTTCAGCGCACCGATGTTGGTGATTATGTCTCCTGGCGCGCAAAAGTATGGCACAACCGTAATTGGGTTAGCGTTATGTTCAACGACCTGCCCGAAAGCTGCGCGCAACTGCGCGGGACTTGACCACTAAATGGTGCGTGGCAAGTCGCGCGCCGTTGCGCGCGCATGGCAGTGTGGAACATCGCCAGTCGAGACTTGCAAAATATGTCGTCATGCCCAATCAGCGTCGAGCTGACACAGGAAGGGTCTGGAATAGTGTCCAGGCAGCTGCGAGGCAATTTTGAGCGACCGCATTACAATTGAAAGCTGCAGATGACGCAGATAATGCCAGGCTCTCGATGACATATTGGTTCTCCCTGACATGAGTTTCATTATTTGACAGAGATCCGGACAAGAGCTTCAATAACCCATCGAATCGTAAGAATGGAACGAAGGCGGCTTTCTGTTGAGATTGATATTCTACTTTCACAACTGTCCGTGTTTCCTGGAATTATCTGGATGGAGACCTTGCAGCGGATGAGGAGGGGAGCAGGCTCGCTCCGGGCGACGCACACGAGAATTGGGGAAGCCCAAGGCGTTGCAAACCCCTGGGAGAAGAATACACTGTCAAGTGTATTTGGAAATAAGGCGACTGAGCTAGTACACCGGGAGGGATCGTAGTTCGCCAACAGGAACTGGCAATGAACGAGTACCGAACGAACGTTTGCACTTTGATCAAGGCGTGCCAGAGAAACGCGTGAACAGCTGTGTCGTACTCCCTCCTAGGTGGCAAGAATTTCATCGTGTTTTTCTTCTCACAAAACTTTATGATCGCGGCCTTTCTATGCCCTTGCTTTATTTGTGCTTCGCTCACATCCGGCACATCACTGCCTTATGGCTGTTGGTACCGACTGGCAAGGTCGCGCAATGGTTCCGAAACTATCGGAGCAAGCAAACATCCAACCGGGCCGTAGGGAGGCAGGAATCGGCCGTCTCCAACCCTCAAGCCCTCTCCCGAGGAATCCGTGCAATCCCGCAAATTACTTCCGAACTCTACATGCCCCTCGCCGCTCCTTGTTCCTTCAGAAACGATACGTCGCTCAGCCTCATCTTTTGCAATGTAGCACCGACTTTCGTAATGGGGCTTCCAGCTATCCGCCCCCCCAAGAGGGTTCGCTAGGGCTCCTTTTGCGGCGGTCTGCGGCGCATTTTCGAAACGCCCAGGTCTTAGCGAGCTACAGCCCTCTCAACGTGCTCAACGTGACCGATTAGTGGCACAATCCGCAAACATTGTTGGAACCGATTTGTTGCATGATTCGGCTTGCGACACGCCAAAGCCCAAGTCTTTCCGTCGCTTTTCTGCCGTGGATGAATTGTATCATCTGCTGATCTTGGACTGCGAGCTCCGCAATGACATCGGCTGGGAAGAGCGCTTTGCTATTTCTCGTCGCGTGTGGACATTGCCCATTCGCGAAACACTTTCGCCGTTTGCTCCCCTAGAAAACGACGAAAGTCCCGAGAGGTCAAGAGCAAACACTGGACCTTGGGTTTTCGCCATCGCAATTCTCAGTTTAGAGGTACCGGACGGCGTCTTCAAACGTCTAAAGAGTACATTGACGGCTGTTTCTCTCCGCAAGCTCGTTGCAGAGGGTCACACAGCAAAACCCGACTTGAATTGTTTGTGGGGGCCAGCTCTCAGCATTCGCACCCGTACGACCGACGCCCAAACTAGACCACCGCGTAAGAGAAGCTATGCTTCTAAGCAGCAAGCCAACAACAAACGCAGGCGAAAACCTGATAGGCTAGTTGACTCGGACTCAGAGGCAGACCTCGAAATCGCTGCCATCAAGCAGTCCAATACCGATGATGACGAAAACCCCCGATACGCATGCCCGTTTGCGAAATATAATCCAGACAGGTACCGAGACTGCGTTCCAGGAGGTCACAAGGAGCCCCGCCACGTGAAGAAACACCTGGAGCGGAAACATTCTCGTCCTCACTACTGTCCGACTTGCTGGGAGTTCTTTCCCGGCCCGGATGGAGAACTGTTGTGGAATAACCACGTCAATTCCCGCGGTTGTACAGAAGCAACTCCAGCACAATGGAAGAAGGATACGATCGATGCCGACCAAGCAACCAGGCTCAAAAACATGCCACGCGAGGATGGCCGAAATGGAACATGGTACGCGATAAGTCAAGTCACCCACTTCTGGGCACCCCACCCATGTGGGCACCCCAAAAATCCCTCAACACCATGACCAGCCTCCCACTTCAAACTATCACAACATTTTCATCCCTTATCCAAATCACTTCATCTTTTGCAGATACCTTCTTCTATACCCTATGGGTCAATATACCGAGTATGAGGTTAGCAAGGCTCTTGGGGATATCGCCAACGGCGTCCCTGTCCAGGCAGCATCTAGGAAATGGGGCGTCCCTCGGTCAACACTTCAGAATCGCCTCAAGGGTATCCAACCTAGAGATATCGCATTTGCTGACCTCCAGCGGCTCTCTGTTAGTCAGGAGGCTAAGCTAGCTAATTGGGTACGGATACAGGCTGGGCTTGCGCCAACGCATCAACAAGTCAAGGTTTTTGCCTAGCGTATCCTCTATGCTATAGGCGATAC